TGATTTTACCTGGGTGATACGGCAGGACCCTGTCTCCAAAAAAAAAAAAAAAAAAAAAAAAAAAGGATGTTATTGGGACAATTGCAAAATTTGAATAAGTATTTTAGATTGGAAAACAGAAAATAATATTGTAAGACTGAGATGGGTGGATTGAGATCAGGAGTTTGAGGCCAGGCTGGGTAACATAATGAGACTCCCATGTCTACCAAAAAAAAAAAAAATAGCTGGGTATGGTGGCACATGCCTGTAGTTCCAACTACTTGGGAGGGTGAGGTAGGAGGATCACTTGAGCTTGGGAGGTGGAGGCTGCAGTGAGCCATAATCATGCCACTGCACTCCATCCAGGGCAACATTGTGAGACCCTGTCTCAGAAAAAAGAAAACCATATTATATTAATATTAAATTTCTGATTTTGATTATTATACTTCAGTTATGTAAGAGACTGTCCTTATTCTTAGGAAATACACACTGAAGTATTTAGGAGTCAAGGGCCAAGACATCTGCAACTTACTCTAAAATGGAAAAAAACGATATATGGGGAGAATGGTAAAATGAATGTAGTAATATATAAAGCAACTGGGGAATCTGAGGAAAGGATAAATGAGAGTTATTTAGACTCTTCTTTCAACTTTTCTACTAGCTTAAAATTATTTCAATTTAAAAAGTAACAGGGAATATTTTAAAATGTTTGCAAGAACATGTAGGAGAATAACTGTTCTTTTGGAGCATAGGATTTTTGAATTCACATACAAAACACCAAACAGGCCAGGCGCAATGACTCACGCCTATAATTCCAGCACTTTGGGAGACCAAGGTGGGCGGATCACATGAGATCAGGAGTTCAAGACCAGCCTGGGCGAAGTGGTGAAACCTGGTCTCTACTAAAAATACAAAAATTAGCTGGGTGTGGTGGTGCATGCCTGTAATCGCAGCTACTCAGGAGGCTGAGGCAGGAGAATCACTTGAACCTGGGAGGCAGAGGTTGCAGTGAGCCGAGATCATGGCATTGCACTCCAGCCTGGGCGACAGAGTGAGATTCTGTCTCAAAAAAAAAAAACAAAAAACAAAAAACAAAACAACCCACCAACCATAACTGAAAGAATAATACATTTGAGTAGAATAAAATGACAAATTTATGTATACAGTAAAGAACTCTATGTAAGTGGAGTTAAAAGATAAACAATGAGAAAATATTTGCTATGCTTCAAATTAGTATCCAGAATATCTGTATATCTATCTATCTAAAAAAACCCTGCAAATAGTAAAACTAAAAATAGACTTTATTAGTAACAAAGACTAAAAGAAACAAAGAAGCACATTCCATAATGGTAAAAGGATCAATGCAACAGCAGAAGTCAATGATCATAAATATATATGCGCCCAACATAGGAGCACCCAGATAATAAGACAAGTTCTCAATGACTTATAAAGAGACTTGGACTCCCGCACAATAATAGCAGGAGACTGATACCACATTGTTAATATTTGACAGATCAATGAGATAGAAAATTAACAGGGACGTCTATGATTAGAACTCAGTCCTGGAACAAGTAAACTCAGTGAATATCTCTAGAATTCTTCACCCCAGGTCCACAGAACATACATTTTTCTCAGTATCACATTACACCTATTTTGAAAGTGACCACATAATTAGAAGTAAATCACTCTTCAGCATTTGCATAGCATTTCACAGACTTAAATGAAATATTGGTTGGCTGTTTGTTTGTTACTTTTTCCCCTTATTCCTTCCTGTCTCCGCTGTTAAGCACAATTATCAGCATAAAAGAGGTTTTTAATATCTATTTCTAGATTGCATTCCAGCCTGGGCAATAGAGCAAGACTCCTGTTCTCTCTCCCCCTTTCTCTTTCTCTTTTTTTAATTCCAAAAAAATAAAAAATAAAAATAAAAAGAGGTCAGGAGTAGCCATATGTGAGAACAGATTAAAGACGATGAAAATGTTTTACATTTGCATATTACCTTGTAATTGTGTATATCATGTTGACTGCATTTAGTTATTTGACCAGTATGGGCAGTCACCCACCCCAGTTGAAGTTTTTGTTATATTTTGTGCATGGTTGTTTAAGGTTTTTTGTTTTGCTTTGTTTTGTTTTTAATTAAAACAATATGATAGCACTTGAAAGGTCGAAGAATATGCCACTTTGGCATTAGGATTATTTTGAGCTAAAGGTAATTGAGAAGAAGTAGATACAAGAAAAGTTTTCTGCTTTGCTGTTACTTGCCTAAAAGCAGGACCTAATTTGTGAAGGTATCCTCCTTTCCTCCCTACAAAGAAGGACAAAGGTTTCTCAATGGAGATGACTTACATTCTCAGCCTGAAAACCAGTACCAGAGGAATTTATGTAACAAACTTTACCAGCCCACCTTTATCCACCATATCTGCCTTATTCACCTTTATCAGCCTTCCCACAATTTGCTGCCTCTAAAGCTTCCTTTTCTTTTGTCCTCCAATTTCTTCAAAAATTTGTTGTTCTTTGGTGAAGATGTTATATAAGCCAGAGTTCTAAGCTGCGTCTTTGAGAACCATTCATTCCGTCTCCCATGTATGTATGAGATATACATGTTCATAACTTGTTTTTTTCTTGTTGATCTGTCTTATTATAGCAGCTTTACCTAAGATCTCAAAAGGTAATGATGATTTATTAACAAGATGGCTGAAATAGTTTAATCTATGAGCCCTTTAAAAAAAAAAACTGCAAATGAGCAAAGAGGAACATCAGCAAAGGATATAAATAGCTGAGTCACAGGTGAAAGCACAGGAAAAGGTGACCAACTGCACTAGGAGTTAGGGAGAAATAAATTAAAATAACAATAGTATACCATTCACACTTATTCAGATGATTATCCAAAATTATACAATTTGATAATACCTACTGTTGAAAGGATGAACGGGAAAGGGGACTTTCTTGATTAGTTTATCTATCTGGAGATTGTCTAACAAAATCTAGTAAAGCTGAAGGCCTGCACTTGGATATGTATGTGATTCCATCTTTAGGTCTGTGCCCTAGATCATTGCCAAAGGAACAGGTAGAGTCGTTCATTGCAGCATTGTTGGTCACTAGTGGAAAATTGGAAACAACCTAATTGTCATCAACAGATGACAGAAGATAAACAATTTGTGGTATAATTATACAATGCATTTAAAATGAATGAACTCTACATGTGTCAATGTGTAGAAATCTCAATAATAGAATTTCATTATTATTATTTTTGAGACAGAGTCTTGCTCTGTTGTCCAGGCTGGAGTACAGTGGTGTAATCTCGGCTCACTGCAACCTCTGCCTCCCTGGTTCAAGCAATTCTTCTGCCTCAGCCTCCCAAGTAGCTGGGATTACAGGCATGCGCCACCATGCCTGGATACTTTTTGTATTTTTAGTACAAACGGGTTTCACTATTTTGGCCAGGCTGGTCTCGAACCCCTGACCTTGTGGTCCACCTGCCTCTGCCTCCCAAAGTGCTGGGATTACAGGTGTGAGCCCTGCCACCCAGCCTCAATAACAGAATCTTAGGTGAAAAAAGCAAGAAGCAGAAATGTAGTGTAAAATTTATAAACACAGAAACAATAATGGATATTTTTGATTGAATAGCAAAGGAGATACAGTCAGTCCCTGCCCTGGAGGAATTTGGGGGCATTGAAAGAAATGTCAAGCAAACAGTTGATTCCAATGTGGTACGATGAAAACCACAATTAGAATGGACGCCAAATACAGATGGAGGTGGCAAGAAGAAGGTGAAAAAACATATTGAAGAAATGGCAAAACCTTCCATGCCCCTCTCCCACGCTGAATCAAGTCCTGAAAGACAAGAAGGGGTTACTTAGGTGAAAGAAAGGGAGTTTCTAGATGATAGTGATATTTGCAAAAGCCCCAGGAAGAGAAACTGCAGAGCCTGATTTGGAAACTGCCAGTTTTCTCAGAGTTGGAGTAGATGGAGGAGGGGGCAAAGAAAGGGATGGAGGGCATTGGTAGGCGCCCCCTGACAAAGGCTCTTCAGATCAGGCTATAAGGAGTTTCACTGCCTTCTGAAGGCAGTGGGATGGCTAGATTATTGAAGCAGAAGAGTAACAGTTGCATCATGAATTATAAAAACGACGGCTCTGGAGGTAAGATCAGTTAGGGTTTTTTTTTTTTTTTTTTTCTTTTTAAAGGAAACCAGGCAAGAAACAATGGGATCTCAGCTGAAATAGACGAGGTGGTTACTGAGAGATAGCACCTTGTCCAACCCATAGGGCTTCAGGGATGGATTAGATGTAGGTGTCAGGAGAGGATTTGAGGAAGTTCCTGGCCTGGCTGTCTTGGGTGTATGATGGAGTGACAGGGGTTGCGTTTTGTGCCACTTGACTCTGCCCCTGGCCACCCCTGATTGGACCTTACAAACGTTTAGTTCAAACATAAAAATGGGCCGGACACAGTAGCTCATACTTGTAATCCCAGCACTTTGGGAGGCAGAGGCGAGGCGGGAGGGCTGCTTGAGCCCAGGAGTTCGACATCGGCCTGAGCAACACAGTGAGACCTTGTCTCAAAACACAAAACAAAAACAAACAAAAAACAAATATAAAAATACCCAGAGGGAAAACTGAAGGCAGTGGTTACCATTACAACGTGTTCTTGTTAGGGGTATATGTGGCCTTAGATTCATCGTGAACTTTTAAATTACAAAATAAAAGCTGATTTTCTATGCAAGATAGGAAATTATCGACTTGTGTAACATCTCAGTGAGCACACGGGCGTCATATTATTTTCTGTACTTTGCTGTGTGTTTGAACCACATAGCAAAAGAATGTTGGCGACAGGAATTGGAAAAGCAAGAAAGTACATACAAGAAAGGCTCTGCGCTCTATAAAGGGGTTAAATGAGAAAGCGGCGGGGGCAGGGAACAGTGTGACGGTCAGTCTTTGTGTGTGCACACTACGCGTGCAGAGAGGAGACTCCTCGGGAGACCCCTCGGGAGACAAGGACCCGGCTGTGTGTGCGCAGTGCGGGGGTAAAGCGGGTGGAGGGGAGCTGGGGCGGGGGAGGAGGTGCGCGCCGCGGAAGTCTCCCCCACCCCCACCCCGCCCCCGATCACGTCCCTTCCCCCCGCCCTCCTCCCTCCGTGACGCCACCTCCCGTCTCCAGGTAACGTGGGGGGTTAAACAACGCGGCCGGAAGGCAGCCGCTGCCTGCCGGGCCTTCTCTTCTGCGACCGTTGATTTTCAGACATTGAGCGCCATGCCCTTGCCTCTGCTGCCGGGCAACAGCTTCAACCGCAACGTGAGTAGGCAAGGCGTCGAGTAGGCAAGGCGTCTGAGGTCACGGCTCCCGGCTGGAGGCTGGGGTCTAGGCAGGGTCCTGGCCTGGCCACCTCCGCGGACTCTCCTGGAGGCCCCCTGCTGCTGCCCTGGGTTGGTTGCAGCTTGGACCAAACTTTATAGGCCCCTCTTCCCATCGCCAAATGCATCTGAATGTTTTTCCTAATTTAGAAACATATAGAGTCCTTATGGGTGGCAGGACCCTCCAAGGTAACCAATAATGATGATAACCATCGAGCATTTAATGTGTGTCAGGTGCAGTGCTTTAATCACCTCATGCAGCATCCAATATCCCAGCAGCCCTTTGAATTAGGTAGTTTTTCCCCCCATTTTACTATTGAGGAAACTGAGGCAGAGAGCTACACAGTCTCATTGGTGAAGCTGGGTTTCTTTCAAGCAACCTTATCTCCACAGCCCAGAAGCCTAATCATTAGCCCCAGCATCCTGTGTGAAAAAAAAGTTGTTTCAATTACCAAATCGAAGAAATCCGGCACTATAAAGAGGGGTAGGTGGCAGATAAGAGTTCTATCAGCCTGTAAAGTTTACTCCCAAACTTTATAGAGACAGGCACCCAAACATGGAGGGATTTTTTTCCCCTCTATTTAGAAGTGGGAGGGGCCATTTCTTTTTTTCTTTTTGAGATGGAGTCTGGCTCTGTTGCCCAGGTTACAGTGCAGTGGGGCGATCTCGGCTTACTGCAGCCTCCCACTCCCGGGTTGAAGCGATTCTCCTGCCTCAGCCTCCCGAGTAGCTGGGATTACAGGCGCCCACCACCACACCCGGCTAATTTTTGTATTTTTAGTAGAGATGGGGGAGTTTCACCATGTTGGCCTCGGCCTCCTGAAGTGCTGGGATTACAGGCTGAGCCACAGCGCCAGCCCCGGAAGGGTCCATTTCAAAAGAAGATGAAGGTACAGAATACAGCAACACAACACAAAAAACCCCGAGCATGAAAGAACTTTTGCTAATAAATAGCACCTCATTTAAACAACAGCAGGAAAATGATTCAGGCTTTTGTTTACACTGTTTACTACTCGTTACTTGGGTCTCCCAGCTGTGTCTGCAGAAGAAGGTAATTCCCAATTAGACAAGAGGGAATTAGATGGAGTCACTCAAGGCAATTGTGTAAACCTTTGATAACTTTAGCAAGCAGATAGCAGACTGAAGTTTTTGGCTTTATAGTTTCCGAACGGTGTCTGCAGCTAAGTCGTTGGCCCTAAAGTACCACTTTTCTTTGTAGCTTCAGGCCATTGAATTCTGACCCCCACATATCTGGTGAGTCCAACTTTGAACACTGATTTGTGCATTTGTTGGTTGATGGGGTAGAGGTTGGCCTTCCAGCATTGCATTGCCCTTTGGTGAGTATAAGCCAGCCATGCAAATAAGAAACGCCCCTGAGAGACGGGCATAAAAACAGATTCCAGGAGTAAAGACGCATGTTGTGTAAAAGTAATTTGAATTAAAAAATGATAGTAAAGCCTACAGCTTTTTGCCCAGCAACACTTCTGATTACCAATCCCCATCTCCTGCAGAAGTATCATAGCTCTTACGTGCAAGTGATTAAGGATGGGAAGGAAAAACAGTGGTTGGATGGGTTATTTTTAAATCTGCAAGGTTCTGAGTGTGTTTTTGCTTTTTAAAACACTTTTAAAATGGTGAAGTACAACACATATGCAGAAAGAGGCACAATGGATGATCACAAAATGAATATCAAGAAATTAAATATGGGGGCTGGGTGTAGTGGCTCATACCTATAATCTCAGCACTTTGGGAGACGGCGGTGGAAGGATCCCTTGAGCATAGGCGTTCAGGACGAGCATGGACAATATAATAAGACCTCGTCTCTACAAAAATTTAACATAATTAGCCAAGTGTGGTGGCATATGCCTGTAGTCCCAGCTAGTCTGGAGGCTGAGGTGGGAGAGTCACTTGAGCCTGGAAGGTCGAGGCTGCAGTGAGCCATGATTACATCACTGTACTCCAACCTAGGCAAGAGCCAGACACTGCCTCTAAATAAATAAATAAATAAATAAAATGTTACCAGTTCTCCATAAAATGTTGCCAGATTTAGCAAATAAAAAGACACATCTCAAATATTGCATGGAACCTATTTATGCGAAAGGATTATTTGTTGTTTACCAAATTTAACTGAGCATCTTGTATTTTAAGTGACTACTCTACCTATACACTTTCTGTTCATAATACCTTCCCTGCTCTCCAGATGTAACCACTGTCCTGGCTCCTATCACTGTAATTAGGCTTTGCTTGCCTTTGAAACTTTTATCAATGAAATGTTTGGTGTTTATTTTTTTATGACTGGCTTTTTTAGCTCAACATTGTATTCATTAGATTTGTCCATGTGGCTATCTGTAGAGGTAGTTTGTACATTTTTATTACTCTGTAGTATTGCATTGTGTGATTTTCACAATATTTATATATACATTTTAGTCTTGATAAATATTTGGCTTGTTTAGGATTGTTAAGAATAGTTTTACTGTGACTATTTTTTTTCGTGTCTTTTGGTAGGATTGCTAGATCACACAGTATTCATATGTTCAACTTGCTGTCAAAGTGATTATACTACTTAAATTCCCACCAGCATTTTCTGTTCCTGTTGCTCCACATTCTAACACTTGGTACTGTTAGTCTTTTCAATTTTTGGAATATTTTGGTTGGTGGGTGTAGCAACTCTTTGTAGTTATAATCTGCACTTCCTGATTTCTAATGAAATTGAGCATGTTCTACACATTTGTTGGTCATTTGTATGACCATTTATGGTCACTGCTTTTTTTTTTTTTTTTAAGATAAGGTCTCACTCTGTTGCCCAGGCTAGAGTGCAGTGGTGTGATCTTGGCTCAGTGCAACCTCCGCCTCCCGGGTTCAGGCAATTCTCCTGCCTCAGCCTTTCAAGTAGCTTGGATCACAGGTATGCAGCACCATGCCTGGTTAATTTTTTTTTTTTTTTTGTATTTTTAGTAGAGACAGGGTTGCACCATGTTGGCCAGGCTGGTCTTGAACTCCTGACCTCAAGCGATCCGCCCGCTTCAGCCTCCCAAAGTGCTGGGATTGCAGGCGTGAGTCACCGCGCCTGGCTTTATTTGTATGACCATTTATTGGTCGCTACTTTTTTGTGTAGTACCTACTTATCTCTTGTCTAATTTTTACTGGGTCGTCTGCCTATTTCTTAGTGATTTGTAGAAGTTCTATATAAATTTTGGATATCTTCCTGTTAGTAGTTGGACTTTTCCCTCTCCTAATGATGTTTTAGATGAATAATTTTTGGAAAAGATTACTCTTTCTCTATGTCTCTGCAGAGCCACCTTTGTCAAAACTCAAGCATCCATCTACGTGTGGGTCTATTTCTAGGCTCATGAGTATTTAGAACATTTATTTACTTTATGCTTGAGAACAATGGGAGTGTGTGTGTGTATGTGCGTGTGTAATAGAGAATGACAATATACTTATTAGACACCTTGGACTGTCATTCAACAAGTCAGTATTTATTTATTGAGTATCCTAGTATGTGCCAAAATTAAGTGACTGCATTTAGAAAATTGTTACTCTAGCCTTGGTACTAAACGCACTGTGTGTTGCCCAAAGATTAATATTTTAAAAACTTGTACTTAGTTAAAATATCGGATGTTCTCTGGCATAGAATGGTCAGAAAGTAAGTAAAGCTGTATCTGGCCTTTTCATCTCCCCCCCCCACACCCCACCACTTGCTGAATTAAATTACCAAGTGAAAAACCTTGGCCTCCTGTAGATAGCATAATTACTTGGCTGTTTGGACTTAAAATTATAACACAGCTAACTTTTATTGCTTTTCCATAGAAATTGAAAAGGAACTTATGTGCCCCCTTACTTAGCTGCCAGTGGTCAGTCATAGGCAATAGATGGATTTCTGTCTGCAGCTAGGTGATATGCAACCTGTATTTCTCTCTCTGAAATACAAGAAATATTGTGCCTTCTAAAATATGAAGATTTGTAACTCTGATGATATTAAAGTTATTTTGATATGAGTTGAAAACCTTTGGGAAAGATCACAACTGAATTCCAGATACACTATATCTTTTTTCCAACAATTTCCATGCTGAACTTGTATTGAGCAAGAGAATCTTGGACATATTGTTAAAATGAGAATATTAAAATTAAAAGGACCATTTCCAGCCAAAGCCAAAAATTCTTTCTACAGTATTTTGGTTGTGTAGATCATCCTGATCCTGACTATCTCTAATGAGTGATGAGGAGCTCGCTCTTTCTGCTTTTTTTTTTTGAGATGGAGTCTTGCTCTGTCAGCCAGGCTGGAGTGCAATGGCATGATCTCGGCTTACTGCAACCTCTGCCTCCCAGGTTCAGGCGATTCTCCTGCTTCAGCCTCTCAAGTAGCTGTGACTACTACAGGTGCCCGCCACCATGCCTGGCTAATTTTTATATTTTCAGTAGAGATGGTTTTTTTTTTTTTTTTTTTGAGACCATGCCCAGCTAATTTTTTTTTTTCTATTTTTCGTAGAGACGGGGTTTCACCATGTTGACCAGGATGGTCTCGATCTCTTGACCTCATGATCCACCCACCTCGGCCTCCCAAAGTGCTGGGATTACAGGCGTGAGCCACCGCGCCCGGCCGAGATGGGGTTTTATCATGTTGGTCAGGATGGTCTCGAACTCCTGACCCCAGGTGATTCACCCGCCTCAGCCTCTGAAAGTGCTAGGATTATAGGCATGGCCGCTCTTTTTGCTTTCAATGAAGCTATCTTGCCACCATCTTAGGAGAGTTTGCTGTAAATAGCCCATCATCTAATTTGCAGTGAAGCAAAGTCCTTAAGAAGAAAGAAAACATATTTGAATTCACAGCAATAAAAGAAAATAAAATAAGAATTTAATGATTCATGACCAGCATTTTTCTTTCTTTTTTTTTTTAGACAGAGTTTCACTCGTGTTGCCTAGGCTGGAGTGCAATGGCAA